CTGCTTGGGATTCTCTCTCTGCCTCAAAATAAATAAATATTTAAAAATAATAATAAGATACTATTTTTAAGTGATTTACCCTTAGCACTGAAACTACGATGGATACTCTAAGAGCCAGTATTTGCCTCTTCTCAGAGGAGCCAACTCCTGACCTAAAAATTAAACCCAGTGCCTTTGACAGCTTTTTTACAACAAAAGCATACACCAAATGCCTCCCCTCAGGGTGGGCATTCACCTGTTGACAGTCTCTCTGGCTCATCTTTTAATACCAAAGCAACAAAGATGGCGGCCAACAGCAGCCAACAGGGAACAAGTGTCTCCCCCCAGGGCGCTCTCAGCCTTTTTATTTCATCCTCACCACAGCCAACAAAGGAGTCGGGGCCAGGATCCCTTACCCTGCAATTCCAAAGTCCAAAAAGGTCTGAAAACCAAGGGTTCTCCTCAAATGTGGTGTCAACACTCACTGTGGGGCAAAACTGACCTGTGAGGACAATTACGATTTTTCTTTACCCAATTTGGTATAGTAAAAATGCATTTAGTTACAGGGTGCTTCCCCAGGCCCCAGTGCGGGTGTTGTGGAATGTCCTTCTCTCAAGCTAGAACTCCAAAACATACCCAGCCCTCCAAGGGTTTCAAATAAAGATTGGTGGATCCACACTTTAGCCCGACTTCCCAGAGGAGGGAATTGAGACTGCGCAGTGGGGAAGGAGAAAGTCCAAAGTATCCAGCCCCACTTTTTCACCTTCCCTAATCAAAGAGGGAGTATTAGAACGGATTCCCTCCAGGGGCCTTCCCAACACGCCTACAACCTAAGCACTGTCCACAAGGAACCCCGACAGTACGCTTTGGATGGTTCACGCGTGGGGAAGCCCCACAGTGTAAACATTAGCATCCTACGTTCACCTTCTCCACTGTCTGCTCAACTAGCTTTCTGAAACCTGTTTCTTCAGCAACATGGCCGCCAGCAACATGGCTCCAGACTTGGGCTACTGTGGTTTATACACGCTGCGGCTGTGCCCGGAACCTGCCACACCCGGACAGGAATACTAAATGGAGCACAGTATGAAAGCTGCAGAGCAAAAGATCTGTCGAGTCAAAGGAGAGGTGCCCTAGTTCTTCCCTGGGAAAAAGGAAAGATAAGCCACCAAACCGTCAGAGGTCAATGGCAACCTCTGGTCTAGTTCGGTCCTCCCCGTGTTAACGTTTTGTTCCACAAACTGTCTAGAGCAGGACCTTCTTTAGTGAATTAAGCTCCAATTATGGATAAATTTTTGTCTGGTTCCAACTTCCTCTTCTTGGTTCGGTTTACCAGCCTGATCAGCTCTAGATGATAAAATAAAATAAGCAAGGTTTGGCACGGTCAACCTAACACTCAGATATGGAGTTATAATTATGCATCATAACTCTTCTTCTTGATCAGACTGACATCTTTTTACTCAAAAATACACAAAGCTTCTCAGGTTTTCTTTAAAGTTTATATTTATTTTGAGAGGGAAAGAGAGCATAAGCGGGGGAAGGGCAGAGAAAGAAGGATAGAATCCCACGCAGGTTCTGCGCTGAGTCACCCAGGCTCCCCACGCTTCTCAGTTTTATTCTTTTTTATTTGAAAGGGGATTCTTTGAAGAAATAACAAAAAGAGATAAAAACTAGAGGTCAGGGCACCTGGGTGGCTCAGTGGGTTAAGTGTCGGACTCTTGATTTCTGCTCAGGTCATGATCTCCTGATTAGTGAGTTCGAGCCCCACTCCAGGCTCTGAGCTGACAATGCGGAGCCTGCCTAGGATTCTCTCTCATCTCTCTCAACTGGAATGAAGTTAGGTTGCCTCCTGGCTCTCCCATCTGGTGGTAACCAGCCTCCAAGAAAGCCTCTACAGATTCCTGCCTCCTGACGTTATGCTGTCCCTTCCCAAACTAACAGAGGTGGCCAGCGTAACCAGTAAGACTGCAGAAATAACTGAGTATAAGGGTGCCTGGGTGGCTCAGTCGGTTAAGCGTCCGACTTCGGCTCAGGTCATGATCTTGCGGTTCGTGGGTTCGAGCCCCACATCGGGTTCTGTGCTGGCAACTCAGAGCCTAGAGCCTGTTTCAGATTCTGTGTCTCCCACTCTCTCTCTGCCCCTCCCCTGCTCATGCTCTCTCTCTGTTTCAAAAATAAACTATAAAAAAAAATTTTTTAAATAAAAAAAAGAAAAGAAAAGAAATAACTGAGTATGACTTCCAAGGCTTCTGGCTTTAGATCGTTCTCTCTGGGACCAACCGGCCACCTGCTGCGAGGAGGTGCGGGCAGGCCCGTGGAGAGGCCCACATGGTGGGAAACAACAGCGAGCGTCAACCTGCCAGCTGTGCGAGTCTGAGTCATCTTAGCGGTGGATCCTTTAGTCCCAAGCAGGCCTCCAGACGACTACAGTCCCAACCGACACCTAAAATGTAACCTCAGGAGAGATCCCGAGCCAGAGCCATTCAGTAAACCACTTGTGTGTTCCTAACAACAAACCTGTGAGACAGACATTCTTATAAAACGATTGGTAGTTTCAGACCTTTCTCCAAAGGCCCAATTCTGCATTTTTCTCCCCTGTTTTTCCAGTGCTCCCATCCTTCCCCTCAGTGCCACAGATGGGGCCTCCCTGCCCAAGTACACATAGAGGCTAGGCTCAAAAGCTGGACAAGTTGTCAAAAAACGAAACTACTGTCGTCACCTTCTGTGCTTAGTAACAACGGTAACATTTGCTTCAAGTCCTCCAGAACTCCTCCTTAGAGGGAGAGAGTTGTCTGAAATGTGACTTAAAATGCTTTTGCCTTTAATGGTCTGCTTCTTAAACGGGAAAGATTCCCATTATAAAGCTGCTGTGGTTTTTAGTTGATCAAGACCAAGGGAAAGGTAATCATTGCTCCATTAGCTTGCCTCCCTCGCAGGATCTGGAATTAAAATTCAGACCTGGCCATTAGTGACCTCTCTAACTCAGTGTCCCTGTCCATAACTACAAAAGCTCTGTGCACCCAACCATCCATCTGCTGGGTTCTTCAGCAGCCTGGCCCCTAAAAACCAAAGATCGGTCTTTCACCTCTTGGGAAGACGTGGTGACAAGGATCACATCTCAATTCCAGAGATGTCACCAACGACCCTACGGACTTTCCTCCTGAACCAGGAAAGCTACGGAAAGGCCAGGACAGGGCTGCCCAACCTCGGCAGTGCTGATATTCTGGGCTAGAGAATCCACTGTGGTGGGGGTCACCTTGGACGTTACAGGATGTTTAGCAGATGGAAGCAACCCCACTCCAGATGTGACAACCAAATAACATCTCCAAACTGCCAAATGTAGAGCGGGGTGGGTGGGAGGCAGAATCGAGAGAACCACTGGGCAAGGGGATGGTTACTTGAAAAGCTACGGTTCTGGCCAAGCCCCTGACCCAGGGAACGAAAGAGGGAGGCCCGGCACCACTTGCTCCGGGAAGCCGACATAAAGCAGCCCCAGAGGCTCCGGGTCCATGGCCAGTCCTGAACATTCCAAGCAGAATGGAGGTTACCAAGCAACCGTACTTTCTCAAGCCTAATCCCCCCATCAAACCGGGAGCAGGCCTAGTCTAGGGCTCCTAGCTGAGAAGCCTCATCGGTTACTGCCAAGGCAAACCCAGGCGGACCTGCAAATCCCTCCAGGGACAACTTACAATCGCCCAAGCATATCCCGGGGCCCCTCTCTGATCTCATCAGCCACCCTCCCCTTTGCTCAAATCGCTCCGGCCTCCCTAGGGGATCGTCTAACAAGCCAGGCAGTTTCTGCTCCTGGGCACCCCCGACCAGACGTCCTGAACTCCCTCACTCCCTTCAGGTCTCTGCTCAAATGTCACCTCCTCACAGAGAGCCCGCCCACATCCACCCACCCCCTTTGCAACCCTCGCAATACAGCAGCCGCCACAGGGTCCTGACCGCCGGGGAACACATGCTATATCTGTTTGTTTGCTTGTTAAGATCTACCCGTAAGCTGCTTGAGGATTTCCTGTCAATATTCCGGTGCCTGTTCAGCACCTGACACGATGAATCTGACAGATGGTGTATGAATTAACGCAGAAACGGCTCATTCCTCGCAAGGCTCGGGTTCAGCCCCTTCGTCCCAGGGCTCCCCGCTCGGCCCAAACCCGGCAAAAATGTACCGATCGCCAGGGGCCTGGGGCTTTTCCTAGCCAGGGGCACGCAAAGGGGCTGGGAGGGGTGGGTGGCTGCGGCATTTCGCAGGGAAACTGCGCGGGGGTGTGCGGCAATGACAACGGCAGCCAAGCCCGCCCGCCGACCGATCTCACGGGCTAAGGACCTGAAAAAGGGTGACCTGAATCTGGGTCTGAGGAGACCGGGCCAAGGGCGGAGGTGATGGGCTCGGAGAACGCGGGCGCCCAGGCCAGGGCCCTCGGACACCGGCGACAGAGGCCAAGACCTCGGGCGGCCGGGAGCCAGGACGCGAAGCCGCCAGCACAAAGAACCGAGACGCCAAGGCGTGAGGGGGGCGAACCTGAGGCGACGGGCCCGCGGCGCCATTTTGTGACCGCAGAGCGGGCAGCGTCCAGACCCCGGGGGAGGCGTGGGAGAGCCCGGTGAGGCTCTGGCACGTCCCTGTCCCTTCCCACCTGACGCCCGACCCTTACCCTGCCGGGCCCACCTGTATAGCTCATGGCAGCAGCAAACACCGCAAGCAAGGACTCCGGCAGCTGCCCGACACGTCCGACGCCGGGATAGCGGCGGCGACAATCCCCGAGGCCCCTTCTAACACAACCGAACGCCCTCTCCCAACCCCATTGGTTCGCGTCGGACTTTCGCTTTACTCCTATTGGGTGTCTGCGCGGTCTATCTCAGTCCCTCCTCATGCCAGTGGCTAATGTTGCTGCCGATCTAGGAAAATCCCCGCCCTCCATTTTCTCAAGCCAGCGATGATTGGCTGAGAGAAGCAGGCCGAGAGACGGAATCTTGTACAATTCCAGGGGGCGGAACCATGTACTACGGGAAGACTTGAGGCCCAAGTGTGGTTGGCTGAAGGAGCGCCTGTGCCCTGGAGGATCGCCAGAGGGAGCCGGAACCTCCGCGCAGAGCACTGCTCCAATCTCGGCCCTGCTACTGAGGTGCTGTGCAAACCTAGGCTGCTCCTTATTTTCTCTGGTCTTCAGCTCCAAAACGAGCACAGTAAAGGCGTGAGGGGGGGCTGAAATGAAAAATACAGTTCAGCGCCACACAAGATACTGGGCTTGCGTTCAAACATTTGAGATAATGTATGTAAAGAAATCAATCCAGTGCTGGGTGCGGAGATAAATGTTACGTTTCGTTACTAATTTTTTGCATGATGATAATGGATACACTTATATAGCATGTTTGTTGTATATGTAATAAGTATACATGTATTGTTTATTATCTCAAATGCTCCCTCATACCTGCAAGGACCTTTTTCAAGAGTTGCCCGTTTAAAAAATAAAACTGAGGGGCACCCGGATGGCCCAGTCAGTTAAACAACCGACTCTTGGTTTTGTCTCAGGTCACGCTCTCACCCTTGGTGAGTTCAAGTACCTCGTGGAGCCCCGCGCTGAAAGCATGGAGTTTGCTTGGGATTCTCTCTCTCCCTCTGCCCCTCCTCAGCTTGTGCTCTCAAAATAAATAAGCTTTTAAAAATTAAAAATAAAAAAAATCCCTGAGGCTTGAAATTCATGACTTGCCCAAGGTCCTTGGTACTTAAGTGTGAAAGCTTGAACTCCCCTCTAAAACCTTGGTTCGATCGGACATCAAAGACCCTGTAATGGTGCAGTCAGCATCCTCATTGGTTGCGTGGAATCTACTTTCAGAAACATCTCATAACTTCTACGAGATGACTTGACAGAGCTGCAGATGCTGAAAACGGTACTTAACTACTATTTGGGAAAAATCATTGTGGTGAGTACGATTACGGCTTATACGTGGTTTTTTTCTGCTTTACTTTAAAAGTTTGTTTTAAAGTTGTGAGCACTGATATTAAGGAATTGTTATTCCTTGATATTAAGGAATTGTTGCTCTTTAGGTGTAATAATGGCAATTTTATAAATCCTTATCCTTCAAGTGAAAGACTAAAATATTAAGAGATTGATTCACATTATGACAATGGTGAGTCACCATAATTCAGATGGTTTCGGAAACGGAAAGTGTTGGAGGGGTTATGGCTGAAGAGACTGGTCTTGTAGATGAGGGTTCGTTTCAGTATTCTATTTTTCTATGGTTGGAATTCTCCATGATACAATATTTTAATAAAGCAACTCAGGCCCTGAAAATGGGTTATGTGGAACTTGCTTCCGCATAGGCTTAAGATGCGTTGAGAAACTAAATATGAAGCACCTAGAACTGATTAACGTGCACTCCAGTTTTGGGGCTCATAGCAGTGTCACCCTCAGAGATGCCTGCCTGTTCTCCACATTCAAGCAGAGCCTCCCCCCCCCCCCCCCCGGATCCTACAGATTCCTTCTCGGCACATACCACAGCCATCATTATACCTCCACTGGGTGTTTGTTAACGTCCCACACTCTGCCTCTGAGGCAGAGTGGCCTGAGAAAGGGCAGGCTCAAAGTTTCCGGAAAAGATCCCTCAGTGTTAAAAGGTGTGTGTGACCCTTTCGAGGACCTACACAGCCATCACTGTATGTGTGGGTGGCGAGGAACTTCCCACGTTACTTTATAAAGTCTTACGCCGTCTGAACTTTTGTTTACATCCAGCTTCGTCACTTTTGTATCTTTAAGGTTAATTTATAAAAAGCTGAAAGGGAAAGTGCCTGTGGGCCAGCTCTCGTCCCAAGAGAGGTCCTCCCTGCTTTCAAGGTCTTAGACATACCCACTCACAGTGTGAGATGGACAGAAGTGGTTGAGTCCTTCCTCCACCAATCAAGATGTGTGCCCTGACCTCACAGGACCAGAAAAGCCAAGGGCGCAGGCCAAGACCACTCTGGTGGGCATGTTATCACAGCTTGTTCGCCTGTCCCTCCCAGGCAGGGACATCGTGGGGGGCCTGGGGCAATAGGGTTGGGGGTAGAGGAGGCCGCTGCTGTCTACACCCCATGAGGTCATTCCCACTCTCCAGTCCATGGGCGTTGAAGTGAAAATGAGGAGCTGAAAAACCGCATGCAATAAACAAGAAGGAGCAGCCAACAAAATCTCTTAAAATCTCAGAAATGTTCAATAAACATTTGCAGAGCGAGAAAATAAATAACATCACGAAGGAGCCAGCAGCTCCCTTCTCCCCTCGTGTGATTTGGGTTCAGGTGCATGTGTCTCCAGGCAAGTCACATGTCTTGAAGGCAGGCTGGTCCCAGCTCTCTGACGGCTGCCAGCAACTGTGCGCTTCTCCCTCCCCCGGCAGGTGCCCCATGCCCTCACTGGACCGCTCCTGCCCTTGGAGGGCCCTCCAGCTTCATGCTTCTCCATCCTGGCTCCCTTCCTAGACCAGCTGCCCAGAGCCTTGGTTCCTCTCCTCTGCTCACAGGAGCCGCTTTGCCAGACAGCCAGCCAGCCAGCCAGCCAGCCAGAGCCCCTCACCAACCATGCCACTGAGGGCCAACAGCTGGGAACTTGGGCTCACCCCCAGCTGGGTCTGATCAGCTTGGCGGCCAACAGGAAAACCCAGGGCCTCTGGGAGCTCGAGGGGGAGGCGGCTCGATCCCAGCCCCGGCTGCCAGACGATGCCAGCCTGTCCACTCGACAGAAAAACACACGCTGGCCGCCTGCCCCGGGGTGTTTCCAGAAGAGAAATTTAATCTAATTTACATACTTCTAGGTACATCGATAACCAAAATGTGGCCACTGAAAAAAGTTAAAAGATCAATCAGCTCCCGGTCTCTAGCTGGCCCAGGATTGCAAAATAAAAAGATCCACGTTCCTTATTCTCTACACAAAACGCGTTTTTAAAAAAGTGAAAGGTCTAGGGAGCTATACATAGAAAGCAACAGTGAAAAGGAGGAGGGGAGTGGGGGTGGGGGAGGAAAGTCCCATCCCCACCCCCTCCTGGGCCCCAGAGCCCCCCAAGGCTCTGGGGGGCCTTGACATGGCAGGAGGCAGCTGTCAGCTCTGAGCTCTTCCAGGCTGGGAAGGCCCCTCTGGGGGTGGGGGGGGGGCGGCCAACAAGGATTTCCGTGGCATCATGGGCTCAGTGGGGGGCTCCCAGGCCCCAGCAGGCCCTCAGAGGGAGCGTGCCTTCCCCTGAGCAAGCACCGTGGGATGATGTGGTCGTTTGACTCAGGAACCGGGGGGCTAGGGCAGATCCTGGGTCTCACGAGGTGCGTGCGTGCATGTGTGTGCCTGTGCGTGTGTGCGTGTGTGTCTGTGTCTGTGTCTGCGTGTGCGTGTGTGAGAGGATATTCACAGGGGCACGAGGGAACCAGGAGAGGGGTCTTTGGGGTCTTTGCAAATGGCCACGGATGGCAAACATAGCCCCGCTTGGCTGCCAGTGCGGGGAGCGCTGGCCTTTCCCCCCCTTGACCAGATCAGCTGCCACCACACGAGACCTGGCCTCTGCCCTTGCTGGACCAGGCAGGCGTGGGCTGAAGGAAGATGCGCTGTGTGTGGCCCCAGAGCCCTCGGGCTGGGGGAAGGGCCACTAGCTGGCTCCTGGTGCCCCGGCTGTAGTGTGCCCGGCCCCCAAGGGGTGCCGGTTTGAGGTTTTGGCTTGCTCCTTTGGAAACGGAAAAGAAAGAGGGAGGAGAGGGTAGAACAGACGGAGGAGAAAGAGAAGACAGAGGTGGCACGAGAGGGGATTTGGAATGCTTCTGTGTTAGGGCGCCTCTGCCGCCGCTGTCTGTGCCTGCGGGGCCCGGGGCTCCTCGGGTGGGGGGTCCGCTTTGGAGAAATTCATCTCCAGGATGTGCCGCTGTAAGTGCCGCACCCACTCCTCCTGGATAGAGAGGGGCCCCTGGAATTCCACCTCACAGAACCTGTGTGGAGGAACAGAGAGAGAGAGAGAGGAGTGGCCACTGACATGAGGAGAGGCCGAAGTGTAGCCCGGCCCACGTCCCTGAGCATCAGGCACACTCACCGCAGCTCAGTGTGGACAGAGCAGACCCAGGATTTCCGGGAAGGGGCCCCTCAGGGACGGTACCTCTACCCTTCCCAGGCTGATGGCAGGACCCCTACAGACCCGCATCATCTCTATGCTCAGGGCAGCCTGGGCGCTGATGCTGGGAAAGGGCCATCGGGCTTGCAGAGGCCCTCTGCCAACTGTGAGTGAGAGGGCAGAGACCCCAGAGCAGCAACCCCGACCTTGCCAGGCTCCAGGACAGAAGGATGGCAGCTGGCGAAAGGGGCTCAGGCACTAACTCACACCCACCTTGCTCAGGCCCCCAGCTCACCAACTCCCTGCGCTTGAGGCCCCACGGGAGGCCTCTCGGAGCAGGGACCCAGGACCTGAGCCTGGGGCTCCAGAGACTTGGGTTCAAATCTTACTTCTGACTTGGCCTATATGGCCTGAGGCCACCTAAAGTGTCAGACCTATTTCCTGGCCTCTGAATGAACTAAGACCTATTTTTTGTCTTAATCAGACAAGCACTTGTTGAGTGCTTACCATACGTCAGGCATAACTCAAGTGCTTTATAAATATTCAACTTTTTAAACCTCATGACAAACCTATTAGGTAGGTCTGTTGTCAACCCCATTATACAGGTGGGAGCATTGAGGTTTGGAGCAGAACGCCCTTGCCCAAGGCTACTATGCTGGTTAAGTGTCAGAGCCAGCCCTGGAACCCAGGTCTGCTTGGCTACAAACCTCAGGGTCCCAGCCTAATGCTCTGAGGTGCCACCCTCTGTTAAGCCCTTAGCCTGGGTCCAGCCATGCTCTGAGGCAGTCCTTGAAGCTACATCTCCTGACCGCCACCAACCTCTGGGCTATTCAGAGGTTTTGGGTAACCAAGGCCCAGGTGGGTGGTCTTTCTCCCCCCACCGCCCCCAGGGGGCCACATACCTGCACTTGAGGGTGTAGATGTTGCCAACAAACTTGACCAGTGATGTCTGGGGGGGACGGGGTACCAGGGAGGGGACCGGCCGGACCCGGGGTGGGGGTTGCCGCACCTCCTCCAGCTTCTGATGTAGATCATTGGCCTCTTCACCCCCCCGGACCGCAGAGGCGTCTGGAGGGCGGGCTTGTCGGCGCTCAAATTCTGAGGCAGGGAAAGGTACGGAGACGGACAAGACATAAGCCAGAGGGCAAGACTCCTGGGAAGGTTCCTGCCTTCAGCAAGCATGGTGTGAAGGCTGTGGGGAACCGTAAGACAGGACAGTTGCTCACTGGATGCTGCCCGGGTCTGGGGGAGGGTTGGGGAGGGGAGAAGAGGTGGGATGGTGGCCAGAGGAATAGGGGTGCAACTGGGTAAGTGACACAAGGCAGATGCACAGCAGAGAACCCCGGCGGCCGGTGCCCCTAGCCCTCAAAACGCCCTTCCGTCAGCACTCACTGTTGATGTTCTGCCGCTGGTGCTCCTCAGCCTTCACAGTGCCTGGCGGGCTGGCTGCCAGAGGCCGCTCACCACTGTCGGCTGCCCGGCCAGCCTCAGGCCCTGGCTCACCCCCAGCACTGCGGCCCACCACAGCCAGGCCCCCGGGTGCCAGCCCTAGGGGCGGCCGCTTGTCACTGTCGCGGCCGTGGCCGGCACTGCGGAACTTCTTGGTGAAGGGGCGGCCGCCCTGGATGTAGCTGCGGTAGGCCCCCACCTTCTGGGGCCGGTGCTTGATCCACTCGCTCAGTGTCTCAATGGGTGAGCCGTTCACACACCACTCGGTCACGCCAAACTGCCGCAGGTGCGCCCGCGCATGGCTGGCCAGGGCCTTGCGGTTTTCGAAGTAAAGGCCACACAGCTCACAGCAGGCTTCGGTGGCTGCAGGCAGAGGGGGTGCTGCTGAGCCCCAGCCCAAAAGCAACTGAAGTACCCAGAAGGCCCTGCCCAGGTCAGGAGTCAGTCCCGCCTCCCACCGGAGCCTTGCCACCGGCCCCTGCTGGGGGTCAGTGTGTGCGCGGCACTGCCTGGCCCTGTGGGCCCCAGCAGGTGCCCTCCCCGGACCCTGCCACTGGCTGCTTACAGGAGTGGGAAGTCTTCTCGTGCAGGGTCTTTGCCTTGAAGGGCAGTTCGGTCTGGATGTAGGTCTTGGCCTTGACCTCTGCTGGGAGGAGGCGGTCCTCCTGCAGGGGCCGCTTGGCTGCCACTGAGCCCAGGTAGCCAGTGGCTGTGGGCTTGGCACCGGTGATGGGTGCCAGGCTGAGCTCTCGAGGAACTTGGGCCGGCCCAGCTCCTGGTTTGCCTGGGCGGCCAGCCATGGGCGCCAATGGCAGGGGGGCCTGCAAAGGCCCTGGAGCAGCCGTGGGGGGGCCGTCCTCAGCCAAGGCAGGGGCCAGGTCTCCAGCGGGCGGCTCTTTCTTGATGAGGCACGGTTTGGACTTCTTCTTGAGGATCTCCCGCAGCGTGTCGATGGGCGAGCCGTTGACAGACCACTCGGTCACGCCCATCTGCCGCAGGTGGGAGCGCGCATGGCTGGACAGGCCCTTGCGGTTCTCGAAGAACTCACCGCAGAACTCACAGCGGATGTCACGCACAGGCTCTGCCCGGGACGCTGCAGGGGGTCCAGGGTGGAGGGAAGGGGAGGAGAAGGAGGCGGCTGCGGCGGGAAGCCTCCAAGCTCAAGGCTAGTGTTAAGTGCCTGGCTGTCCCGTCCATACAGCCCCAGACCCAAATGACCCGCTCCCTCATCCACTTCCAGGAGCCCCTGTGTACATTCAGCCCTTCTGCCTGCTCTGTCACCTCAGATTCTAGCTGGCTTCAAGATGACCCCCTGTGACATCATGAAGCAGTGAGGAACAAGCGCTTCCTTGATCCTGGGCTCAGACTCCAGCTCGGCTGTGACCCCCTTATGTTATGCTGGGCTACGCTGGGCAAACCACTTTCCCTCTGAGCCTCAGTTTCCTCCTTTGCAAAATGCAGATAGAAACTTCCACCTTGAGGGAGCAGTTCAAAGCACATGGCATAGCTGGTACGAAATGCACATGAGCACTTCAGACAGCGCAGC